TCGAGGAGTTAGCGTTGCCTGGGTTGGGGTCTGGCACTGCTCTAGGTCGCAATAGTCCCAGCTCAGCCTGTCGCCGCTCCAGACGAAGCACCATGGACGCGTGTCATTATCCGGGTTTCTAAAATCTCAAGAGGGAGCACCGTTGGAGCAAGGGGACCCCCCCCCCCCGAGGGCCCTACGGGACAGCACGTTGACCTGCCCGGCCCCTTCCCGAGCGCGAACCGGCAGAATGCATGGTGGCCCAGGCCCCAGCTTAGCGCTTGTTTCTTAGTCATGTTCCGGTAGGTGGCCTCCGTGGACCACTGCTGACATGGCGCACCCGATAAAGCGGTTCCAGCCTTGCCCCGATAGCTGAGTCCCCTGCCATCGTAGCAGGTCGCCTTAGTGTCTAGGGAGAGAAGGGACTCTCTGTTGGTTCCCTCTCGTTCACTCTTCCAATCTCCCTCACCCACCTCCCCAAGCTCGTTCCCACTTGGGGCCCCACTCACCTAAGTTGCAGTAAGGTCCGGTGTAGCCCGCAGGGCAATGGCACAGCTGGTGGCCCTCCACCTGGAAGCAGCTGCCCCCGTTGAAGCATATGTCAGCACTGCAGGCTGGGGGAAGGTGCAAGCTGAACCATCCCTGGGTGTGCCATGCCACCCAGCCTCCTGCCCAGGACTTCTAACTTTTGCCCTCCTCCCCACAGTCACCACACACCCACTTACCCTGGATGGCCAGCGGCTTGCAGTGAGCCTCAGGGGGCTTGCACTGGCACCGGGCCACACCTTCTGGCCCAGTTCTAAACCACATCTCATTCTCGTGGAAGAACTGGAGAAGCTGAGGCTCGAAGCACTTCTCTGGGGACAAAAGGAGGCCAGTGGGACCATGCCAATCTCCCAGGGCCTCAGGGACTCTCGATGGCAGGCAGCTGCCCTTACCTCTCTGACAGTGCTTCCCAGTGAGGTGTTCTGGGCAGAGACAGTGTGGGCCACTGGGGGTGTTCACACATGTCCCTCCTTTGTGGCAGGGGTTGTGTTTGCTGCAGTGGTCTGACACATAGACACCAGAAGGAAGCACAGGGAGCTGAGTGACACAGGAAGGGACCAACACCCCACCTGGACCGTCTTGTCATAGGGCCTACAGAACCCCAAATTTCCAGTCCTTGAGATTGTAATATGGTGATCTCTTTCCCCAAAGTTCTTCCTCTGACCTTTGAAAGGGTGCTGTAGGAGAAGGGGGTGGCTGGGCCCAGAATCCCAAGTGTCTGGGATCTGATGTAGTAGGTGGGTGGGGACAGGGAAGAACAGGGAGGCAGCCTTGGGCCATGGGAGGCTCGCAGTACCTTTCACTTTCTTGGGCTCCGAGCAGTATCCCCACTGCTGGTCCTGGTCAAAGTTGGGAGTGATAGCACACCTGTGGAGACAAATGAGGCTTCCCTGCGTTGCCTGAAGGCTGGCTCATCCTCCTTACCACACAGGCACTCTCACACACACAAATAACACAGCCTTTTGCCCAAACACAATTCTTAGTCAGAACACAGATAGGCAGAATCCGTCTTACCTAGGCCCCTCCTCCAACCCCCATTAGGAATTCTTACCAGGGCCGGGAGCCTGGCCTGCCCTTGTGGATGCATTTGTGGTACAGACGACGGTGGTACTGAAAGGGGAAGTGGCAGAGCTTCCCATGGGCCGTGAGAACTGTGGGAATAATACGGTATTCCTGAGGCCCCGCACCATGGCCTGCTGCCCAAGCTCTGCCTCATGGAGCCTGCTTGGGAAAAGGAGAGTCCTGCATTCAAGACTACATACTGCTTAGGGGGTTGTCTTCCAGAGACAGACAGCTGGGATAGATTTCTGATGCCAACACTTACAAGCTCCGTGACCTTGGTAAAGTCTGAAACAAACTAAGTGCTTGTCACAAAGTTGCCACTTAATAAATATTTAGGCCATTAAAGCAGGGTTTTTTTTTTTTTTTTTGATCATTAGTAAAATGGCAACAGTAATAGGACTATCAATCCTCTTTATCCACTGGCTTTGCTTTTGCAAATCTGCCTGCTTTGTAAAAAGTTATTTGTAGCCGGCATTGGTGGTGCACTCCTTTAATCCCAGCACTGGGGAAGCAGAGGCAGGCGGATCTCTGTGAGTTCGAGGCCAGGCTGGTCTCCAGAGTGAGTGACAGGATATGCTCCAAAGCTACACAAAGAAACCCTGTCTCGAAAAACCAAAAAAAAAAAAAAAAAAAAAGTTATTTGTAACCCCCAAACCAATATTTGTGATTCCGGTTAAGGGTATAGGTCAGCAGGAGAGGATTTGCCTAACATGCAAGACATCACAAGGAAAAACAAAAACCAAACTTCCAAACACTCACAGTGCCTTCATGATCTTAATAAGATTGTGTGGATCAGAAAAAAACAGGCACACACACCCAGCTGAGGTCTAACAAGGTAGCGCTCTGCCCTCTTTCAGGTCTTATATTGGAAACAAGTATTTTTCTGATATCTATTTAGCACAGTATTTTCCATCTTCCTTTTTTTTTCTTTCAGCTTTTTTTTTTAAAAAACAGGATTCCTCTATGTAGCCCTGGCTATCCTGGAACTTGCTCTGTAGTCTAGGCTGGTCTCAAACTCAGAGATCCACCTGCCTCTGTCTCCCAAGCCCTGGGATTAAAGGTGTGGGCCTCATCCCCTGTTAAAGTATGGCTGCCTTCATTCCTTCCTTCCTTCCTTCCTTCCTTTCCTCCCTCCCTCCCTCCTCCTCCCTTTCTTTTTTGAGACAGGTTGCTCTCCATAGCTCTGACTGTCCAGGGGCTCACTACATAGACCAGACTTGGCCTCAAATTCACAGAAATCTGCAGTTTTCACTTCTCGTGGGAGAACCGTTCATTAGAAATTATCCCAAGCAGCCAGTCCCTGCTGGCACAGGACTGTGATACCAACTACTCAGGAGGCTGAGGCCGAATGGTGGCAAGTTTAAGGTCTGCCTGGACTTTGAGTTACTCAAAAGAGTGAGTTTAAAGCAGCCCGGAAAATTTAGGGAAACTGTCTCAAATCAAAATAAAAGAGGTCAAGGGTCCCTGGAAGATGACTCAGTGGGTAAAAGTCTTAGCTACACAAGCCCAACACACCCAGTTTGTTCTCCAGAGCCTACAAAAGCAGCCAGATGCAGTGACATGCGCTTGTAATCCTGGTACCCTACAGCGAGATGGGAGGTGGATGCAGGAGAGTTGCTGGAAACGCAAAAGCCAGTGAGCCCAGAACACACAGCACAGCAGTAGAAATGAGAGACCTCCATGTCAACAGGTGAAGGCAAGAACCCAACTCTTGAATTTTGCCCTCTGACTTAAACACACACACACACACACACAAACACACACACACCACCGAACCA